TCTATCGTCTTTTCGGTCTACTACTCAGACCTCTTTTTGTTGCGTAGCACAGCTCCTGCGGGTGTCTGGCCTACGTTCTCCGCTCTCTGTCCTCTCCATTATTTCTCATACCCGGATACTTTACTAATTAGGGCAGTGGAAATATCCAGAATGGGCAGTGGAAATATCCCGAAACACATTTTACTAATCAGGGCAGTGGAAATATCCGAAATGGTTAGTGGAATTATCTAAAACGGTCAGTGGAATTATCCCTGCCCTTATTTTATTATGACGTTCCGGATCTGGCCCTGAACGTGTACAACACACACCCTCTCGCGTACCTACTTCGCTCTTGCCCGAGCAGAAGTTCTTACTTACTCTTTCAATCAACATCATCAACAAACATCACCTTGCTGTCTTATGATACAACACCTATCTAGTACTAATCAAGAAAAATATGTGAGGGACTGGCCTAGGGGAACGGTTGTTGCCTAGCGTCGATATATGTAGTATTGTTTGACATGAGGAGAGAAGAAGAAGAAGAATGCCCTCCTCCGTCTCAGAGCTAACTAAATACATGCAGGGTTGTGTGTGTGTGGCTCCGGCCCTAACCCCCTTCGATGCCCCCACCTCCAGGTGAGTGACCTATGAAAGAAGGAGACGAGCCAAAGCTCGAATCCATGACAAAATAAGAGAAAATGAGCCGCTGCTGACGCCGGTTACAGCAGCGTTGTCCAGTGCCATGGCCCGTAGCGGGCAATAATCGTCTGATCTCCTGCTGGGGGAGCAGCGAGTTTTAAGACCGTCAGTGAGTGGGATGTGTGACGGTTACCCGTAACTGCTCTGTCCGTTGTTTGCATGCACCTATATATCCCGCATTAAGCTGAGTTCCTACCAGCTTAGTGTTCTGACCTTTTGGTCGGGTCGGTGGGGGTATCCGATTCCTCACAGGATGCAGAGCATTGAGCGATAAAAAGATTGACCGAGACAGGGGTCGAACCTGCGACCTTCTGATAACATGTGACCCGTATGGGTTTGCAATCGTAGTCAGACGCTCTGCCATTGAGCCACACGGCCTGTGATTACGTGAAAGTTGTCTTCAATCACAATTAACGTATTTGAAAACGTCTTCAAAACGGTAACTCGGTTCAGTGGCGCGAAACGCACCAGCCACTTATGTAAACACGCACCGCACGCGAAATTTTTTCAACGTGTCCCCTCTTCATCCTCTTCTCCTCCCTCACGATGTTCCCAAAATTCACTTGTCGACGATCCTCTCGTCACTCCCCTATACAACTACCAATTCCGGACGAACTAGTCCATCTATCCAACTACGTCAGTTTTGGATTACCTGCGATCGCACTTTGATGCAGAATTCGAGAACGGTACTCACTGAGGCATTTGAGGGCAGCACTAAGGTCGTCGTGGAGATTGAATATGAAGGCGTAAGTGAACGGATGGGAGAATTGAGCTGTTAGTTTGTTAACGAGTTATAGGAAGATGAGTTCAGCCATGCGACTTTGAATCTTCACCTCCTCTTCATCTTCATCGAGCGTAATGAGGCCGATATGCATCAAAATGCCGTCTGTCGCAACCGTGGTCTTGACATCTGCTATTGCGGATTGTGCGATCTCGGGAAGCCAGTCGTTCGTCAACAGTCTGATCTAGGCATCCAGAAATAGCAGCTCAAGATTCGACTGCGGTTCAAGAGGCTCGAGAAGCAGTCCCAGATTCAATCGCGACTCGAGAGGAGCGAACACTTTGAAGAGCTGCTTTCACTGCAGTGCCTCAAGCCACAGTAAATGAAAATGCAATTGGGGCGATAACAATGCAAAGGATTGCAGATGCAACATCATGGCCTGCTGCTGATCAGCGATCTTGGTACTTAGTGTACCACGAGCTAGCGGCTACCCATCACCGCCTGAAGACGGCGAAGTATGCTGTGTGTGGGCCTCTTAACGACCTCAATTACAATTTCTTCGCATACACCCATCGCAAAGTCTTTGAGGTATTTAAGGAGGCGGTGGC